GATTTCTGATCTGAACTTGTGGAGAATCCGGGGGATTTTTGATGGCTCAGAAAAACTCCCTCATCAAAGGCAAATAAAATCCTATTTATAGGTGAAACCTAGGGTCCAATTTCCAGATTTTCCTTTTCCCCTTAGTCCCTATTCTAATTTCAGTGGTTACCCTTTACTTTCTGACTTTTACACAAGTACACTACCCTAAGTTTATTAAAACCTACACTATAGTCCATCCTAGAAGGTTTCTATACTTATTACAATCCCTATTTCTATCCTTCACCCCCTTCAAAAATTACCAAAATCTGATAAAAGTACCCTTTTCCCATGCCTAAACTACCCTTTGAACCTCTCTGAAATTAACTGGCTAGACCAAAACCCTTTTACTGTATATGTTGGTCACTATCTTGTTTCAGCTGTAGCCCAAAAGATCCACCAAATACGAATTGTTGCAACAATTAACCAATCATGAAATCCAACCTAACCATGAACTACAAATTGCAGTGACCACTCAATGAATCAACTAACTAAACTAAACAAAAATTAGACTAATTGGAATAAATTTAAATCAAACATGAAGACTGAGAACAGTACTACGAAGAACATAACAAATCATAAAACTTAATTAAACCCTAAACATGGAACTGTTATACGATTAACTATTAAACTAAAACAAAACTAATTAATGCTAACTAACAGCAACCATAAGAGATACTAATCAGTTCAGAATGCTGAGGAAACGAATTGAAATCAACAAAGCTCAAACAGGATGACCAGACTCGAAACAAATCGTAAACTAAACTTAGAACAGATACGGAACCCCAAAAATAAGAATCAAAAATAGAAGTAATCAGCAAACTTACTGAATTAGAGCATTCGACTGACCATGGGGAAACTCTGACCGGCCATTTGTTTGAATCCTCCGGGATTCTTGACACGTAACATCCCTAATCGTGTGTTTTCAAAAGAACACACATGATTAGGGAAATTACGGTCCAAAATCCCCCAAGATTTTCTGAGCTAGGGTTCTGCCAGTCTAAGATCTAAAATTCGAGAAGCTTTGGCAATATTCGAAAGATTCTGGTTAGGGATTCAGGTGGAGGGAGGTCAGAAGAGTATATGGTGTAAATTTGGTTGGATTTGGGTGAGTTGATGTTTTGGCCCAGATTTTCGATCTAATATTTGAGCAGTTCCGGCCATGTTCGAGATAAGTGGCTATGGGGGTTGGGTAGAGGAGGTCAAGGCGGTCCCATGGTGTTAATTTGGGCCCGTTTGGCATAACCGGCGACTTGGCCGGAAAATTTTGTCAAGATATTCGACGAGCTCCGGCGAGATTCGAGGGAAACTAAGGGCAGGGATGGAAAGAGGGGAACGCGGAGAACCGGTGGTGTAATTTTGGAGGTCATCGGTGTATCGCCGCCGCCGGCGACGATTTCCGGCCGGCGGCGGACGGCGGAGGGACGGTGGGGCTAGGGCGGAGGAGGGTGGCCGGCACCGGCGTTACAGGGTACGATGAAGATGAAAGAATGTTTTTAGGTTTTGGGTTAATTTCGGACAGTTTTATGGGATTTGAGACTTAGTTCTCATCCGTTGGATCTTGAAGGATCAACGGATGAGATTCACCTGGGCAGAACGGTGTCGTTTTGAATGGGGTTGCTGGACCGGGTTATAGGGGACGGGTATGGATCGGCTTGGATTGGGGATTTCGTTTGGGCTGACTGATTTTGGCCCAAATTTGGTCTCCAATCAAGACCATTTTTAATTTTTCTTTTTCCCCCTTTTTTTTCTTTATCTATTTTTGTATTTTTTGTATTTATTTATTTTTCTGATTTTATAAAATGCTAAAACAAAGCAAAGACCTAATTACACTATTTAACTCCTAAAGTTACTTATAACTCTATTTAAAGACAAATGCAATAATTAGCAATGCAAAGAACTATTTTCTTGCAATTTTCTTTACATTTTATTCTAAAGCTAATTAATACTAAAATTGTGAAATTAAATCCCTAAATGCCAATGCATATTTTTGGTATTTTCATATGGATTAAAATGCACAAATAAAAATACAATAATTACCAAAAAATGCCACAAAATTCACAAAAATTTATAAAATACTAGAAAAAATTGTTTTGTATAGGGCACAAATCACGTGCTCACAAAACCAAGTACAATTCTGTCTATATGAGTTGAGAAGGGGAAGATATGGTTGCCAAGTTAACAAAAAGATAAAGTTGGCGTCCTAAACAGATCGAAGTCAGTCGGTTTTTCAAAATATTTTAATTTTTTTAACAAAATCAATCAACTTCGGTCGGTTTTGTTTGGCACGAAAATGCGAGAAATTATTTTTGCATCCCGCAATAATTATTTTTAGAAACCGACCAACTTTGGTCGGTTTTTTATTTAAAAATAAATTAAAATTAGTATTGAGAAAATCGACAGAAATCGGTAAGTTATTTCGGTAGGTCATTAAAAAACCAACCGATTCCGGTTGTTAATTTTATTTTTATAATAAAACCGACCAAAATCGATCGGTTATTTTCACGTGAAAATGCATTTAAAGAATATAAATAAAATAAAATAAAGTCTTAAACCAAAATGCACGAATAGTCTAGTGGTAGAATAGTATCCTGCCACAGTACAGACCCTGGTTCGATTACCAGATGGTGCACCTTTTAATTACATAACTAAAAATACCGACCGACTTCACTTGGTTTTTTGGCAGTTTTTTTCTTTTTTGGTCGTTTGTGAAATTTAATTGACCAACCGAGTCGGTCAGTTGGCTCTACCGACCGCCACGAATCGATCGATTTTTCGGTCGATTTTCGCCAGTTACCGACCAACATCGGCCGGTTTTGGCAGTCGGTTTTATCCCTTTTTTTAGTAGTGGTAGGGTGCGGAGAAGGGCTACACGCCAAAGGGTGTGATGTAGACAGCCTACCCTAATGCAAGCATTAATGGCTGCTCTCACGGCTCACACATGTAACCTATAAAGTATACATTTCAGAACTCGCTCTCTCAGATCATAATGTGTTCACCAGACATCTGACTTAGCAACCTGTTGCTTAGACCGGCAACGATAAGGAAGGAGATCTATGGATAATGGGATATAGAAGTCAGGTGCGACGGTCAGCTCAGTCAGAGCGCAATTAAATTTCGGGATGCTTCATGAAGTGCTTCTTTCGGAGTTAAACTTCCGTTTGTCCATATTTCAAGAAAAAGTATCTCTTGTTTTTCATTCCCATTCCCATAAGAATGAATACTATGATTCGCGTTTCGAACAGGCATGAATACAGCATTTATAGGATAACTTCCATCTTGAAAGTTATGTGGCGTTTTTATAAGATATCCACGATTTCTCTCTATTTGTAATCCAATACAAAAATTAATTGGTTCCGTTAAACTGGCTATATGTTGTGTATTATCAACAATTTCTACCATCTAAGAGCCCTTTCTACATTTTTTTCTATTACATTACGAAATAATGAATTGAGTTCGTATAGAAATTTTGGATGCTGCTAGTGAAATAGCCCTTCTGGCTATATTTTCTGTTACTCCACCCATTTCATAAAGTATTCTACCCGGTTTAACAAAAGTTACCCAATATTCAAGGGCTGAACCCATACGTGTTTCTGCGGGTCTTAGCCCACAACGTCTAAATTCTGAACTCGACACTGATTGGACATAAGAAAGTATTAGCATCCTAAAGGTCTTGACTACTAGGAAAATCAATTTCACTTGTTGCAAGTCTTTAGTCATTTTGGTAATGAAAAACATGGCAAGTGCTAAAATGATGGATCAAATGTTGAAATTCTTGTAAAATTTAAAAGCTTTAAAATTTAAATAGAAATATTCCACTTTCAAATATGAGGACCACCAAGAAGTAGTTTGGCAACAAATCATATCAATGCTTTTAAGTAACATCAAATTCTTTTTCAATGGAAAGTAGGAGGTACACAATAGACATGATTTTTCATGCCCTTGTCTTAATCCATATTCTTTTTCTTTTGTTCCTTAACCATGATTTGAGCTGGAAACCTACATCTTTAGTAATAGGAAATTCAGAATTCTATGCTTTTTTTGCTTTTACTTTTAGTTTTTTCATGAGTAAGGAACCTCTAAAAGTCCAAGCATTATCACCTTAATAAATGGTCAAGAATTAATCAAGATTAACAGTACCTCTAAAGGGCATAATCCTTCTTCAAAACATAGCCAAATATAGGACGAGTTCTATAGGTTTAACTGAACTCATTGTTCTCTGCTCGAATTATGTATACATACAACAATAACAACTACTACTATGCATCAATCCCAAGAAAATTGCGCTCGACAATGTCTTCTTTAGATTTCAGACCATGAAAAAGGATTTGTTAAATGAGACATAAGAAAACTACTATTGACCATCCATTATTTGGTACCCTTTTCTTTTTGCTGTTTTAAGTATACCTTTTTCTATTTTGACTAATTTCACTGGATAAATTGGAGCATCATTTCGTGGACATATGTTAAATGCTAAGTACTTCAAATCACAAAAATTATTAATGAGAACAAAACTTGCACTATACAACATTCTGCTTTTCTCCTGCCAAATCAAATTGCTGAAACTTTTCTAGTCAATAAATGAATCTGAAAAATTTCTTTAAACTAAGGGACTGCTTTTACACTAGAATTAAAGATTATGCAAACACTTATTAACGATTCTAGAGATATGATTTCTATGGCATTCAAAGCAAGCCTTGCTCCTCCAATTAAAAGATTTCATTACCTTGAAAGATCTGCACATATATTTTTTTAATACTTTTTAACATCAAAAAAAATAAAAAAAAGGTGATTTATTGGATATTTTTTTGTCTATAACAGTCAAATAATATTTGAACATAAAGTATTCTTATAACAGCCAATCGCAATAAAAGCCAAAAAAATATCAGGACAAACAAAGCTACTATAAATAGATTTGACGGCATAAACAATCTTTCAAGTACTGGGATAAATTTGGTCTGAAATCTAAAGAAGACACAAAGAAGGATTATACAAAACAACAACAAACCCAGAGAAATCCACAAGAAGGGTAGGGTAAAGTGTACGCAAACCTTACCCCTACCTTATGACACTAGAGAGGTTGTTCTGAAAGACCCTCGGCTTAAGGATTATACAAAAGCAAGTAGAAACAAAAAGAAAATGTGTAGATATTCAAATTTAGCACCTATACTGAAGATACAAATCTCAACAAATAACTCATTGACGTTGAGCAACCCGATGTACTAAGCTCCGGCTTTGCGCGGGGTCCGGGGAAGGGCCGGACCACGAGGGTCTATTGTACGCAACCTTTCGGTAACCTCAACAATGACCAACAACACAAGTCAATATCTTTCAACCCAAGAAGCCATGTACACAGTATATGTATTACATTATAAAGCAAATGTCATAGTAGACAAAATGGGACAAGACCTTCAAATCTAAACAGTTATAACAAACATGCCAACTGGCTCCAAGAACAACTTGAAGTATCATCACTTGCTTATGCATTATCATCCGGTGTCTTCGGTTCCTCTCTTGGTTTCAAAGACGCCGAAGGCGATGGAGCACCATCTTGACCCATTTCAGCTCTCAAATCGTTGATGCTTTGTTCAAGTTCATCAATCCGGTTTCCCATCTCGTCAAGTGCAGCCTTGTCAAGGACTAAACATACTTTGTTCAAGCTTGATCTAATAAAACTATAAAAGAGAGGTAGATGCCCTGTACAAGATAAAGACGTATTTGGAACAGTTTGATATGAAAACCATCCAATATGAGAACTCTCACTAGTATGAAAGAGGATTGGAAGCAAGAGCGACAGACTAAAAAGTTGTAGTTGATGACAGTAATGAAACCCCTTTTAAATTTTCTAAGAGACTAAACAAGGTTAGATTATGTTGGCGGATTACCAGAACCCCTACCGACCTAAAAAGTTGAAAGGCAGCAAGCTGGAAATCATGAGCCACTCAAGAGCTTAAGAACCAAGAAGGCAGTTAACACATTCTTGAATTCACAGTTCTACGGAATGCTATATATAACTAAATGCATTTTAGATGACACTAATGTAAGCAACAACTGGATCAGATAGCTGGGAACATCAAATTTAAAAAAGGATATTTTTCGAGATGATTGATTCAGACATTGTCTGAAATCTGGTTTGCTGCAAGGAGAGAAATATCAGTTAGATAATTCTAGTTGATACATGTGAAGAATCCAAGGGGTTGCAGAGTGACCGGACTCACCATTTGCTGAAGAAGATTCTGGACCTGGAAGAGAAGGAAGGGCGGTAGTAAGAGTTAGCTAACATAAATGCAAGTTCTCATTTCTGTCAAATGATGTGCTAGTGAAATCTATCAGAGACCAAAAAAAAAGGGACAGCGATACCAAATATGTTATATGTCAAGTGCAGAAACATTGATCCAAATGTTATGGTATTAGCATCATGATAAAGCCATATTTATGAATAAAGCTAGCTCTTTAAAGGGCCAGGTTGTATGTTAGAATTTTAATTTGATAATAAAAAAGAAAGTAACTTTTGATTCCAGATTCCCAAGTAATCACGCTTGATAACTCAGTGGTGAACAGATTGAGATGATTAGAAATATTAGAGATTGTTAGCAAGCTAAGCGCAGGAGAGTGTGCCTTAAGCTAATCAATTAAAGAAATTAGAGCTGTCTTTGCCAGAAAACTTACAAACACAGTCATATCAGCAGTGCTTTGCTTTGAATTATCTCCATCATGCCCATCCTGCCAGAAAATTGTGATAGTTACGTTTAGAAGAGAGCCAATACGGCAGCTCAGACACAGAAGAACATGCATTTGAATAAAACATACTACTGATTGAGAGCTCATTCTCTAATTTTTTTTTTTTTTTTTTTTTTTGGGTGGGGGGGGGGGGGTCTAGATGAATTAATCAGATGGACCCGACCTCTATTTCGCACATGGACTACTTTCAGCAAGAAAAAGATTTGGAAAATATTAGAGTTAAATAATCCATAACTGCCCTCCCCCATCCCACACGCAAACATATACTAACAAGGTACACTTCAAAGTCAAGGACTAACATGAAAACTGATTCACTTAAGAGTCTGAATTAAAGTTCCCACGATGAAAGATGATATTGTTGACAATAGTAGTACTAGGAAAGTTTCATAAGAGATCTCTGAATTAGAACACATTGTGAAGTGTAAAGAAAGCTGTTCTAATTTTCTAGGACTGTTTTAAAAAATCTAAGTACTACTAGTATTTTAGAAAGCTTTACAATGGCACTGGCAGCTTTCTCAACCATGTTTAGGGTGTCAACTCTATTAAACAAAATGCCCTAATCAGAATTGAACAAATATATTTATCTTGAATTGCTAAGTTTAATTCTTCACGGCAACTGATTGGATATCAAAAATAAAGTGTCTCAAAGAGTTTGCAGCAATAATCCTTTTCCAAGTATTCAAAGCGTGGGATTGTTATTGAAATTATAACCGTCAACTAAAAAAGAATGCTAAGCAATGATATACCCAGTACCATAGTACATGGTAGCCTCGGGACAACCAACACATGACAACAAAGCTGCCATGTATGCAGGTTCCCAAAATGAACGCAAGTACCATATTTCTGACTTCATTAAGAACAAGGTGATGCAGAATGCACCTCAGTAAACCTTTTCACGCACTTCTAACAGAAATCTTGACTCTTAGTTCATACATTATACAGAAGTGGTAGAACTTTTTCATTTAAAAAACAAAGTAGTGTCAGCAAGACATTATAGAGTCTACTAACAATCAGAGGTGGATGCAGCAACTGGTTCATCTGAATCCAGTACTTTCGGCGCGGAGCATAAGCTTATGAGTAAAATTAACTAAGTATGCAACAAATAGCAGTTCCGAATCCATAATTTTATAAATACATGAGTTTAATGCTAAAAACCTTAAAGGTTGAACGCATCAAGTTATTTCCTAGATCCGCCTCTCCTATCCGCCAGTGGTTGTGGTGGGATGGATAAGATCCTTCCACCCTTAACCAGAGGTTTCGAGTTCGAGTACCTTGAGAAGTTTAAAGATCTGTGCTTCAGTGATCAGTATTATTAAGTGCAAAATCTAGAGCACCTCGAAAGAGCCTCTACTTTGTCTTACAATTGAAATTATTACAAATAGAACAATATGGATATAAACAATTGGTCATAGCCAGTCTCAACTTTGGGAGCCCTAATTATTTTTGTTGGTTATTTTATTGAGCTCACTCGAGTCAATAATCACAAATTTGCTTCAACTCCAGTCCTCCTTTAGCTAAAGAAAACAAAATACAAGAAAAAATGACATTTTAAATGAAAAAGAGGAAATTTTACGGGTTTAAAATTTTAATCTTCATAATTGCTAAAACCGAATCTACAAAACAAATGCAGCAATTCCGTTAATAAAATTCAGTCCTATTACAAAAAAATAAATCACAATGCAAACAGAAACGGAGTCAATACAAGCCCTAAATCTGAAAGGAAAAAAGGAGCAAAAAGGTCACTTTTTGGGGATTTATTCACTTAATGAAGAAATCAATGTAGAAAATTTGAAATTTAGAATTGATAGAGAAAATGAGTTTACCATTTTGTTCAGAATTCGATAGTAGCGCCACGAGACAGACAGAAAAAGAGAGAGGATTTACTTAATCGCTTTTTAGCAGAGAGAAGATGGGGATACCAAAAATGGTGAAATTGGGAGGTCTAAAAGGAAAGATAATTTGAATTTTGAAATGACCAAAATGGGTGCTTTTGTAGTGACCCGACCCGACACTCGGCAATAAAGCAATTCACTTGTTATGGATAGTAGGGCCGGGCATAATTTGGTAAATACCGAATTACCGTACCGAAACCGAAAATTGTGATATTTGGTATACGGTATTTTGGTATTTGGTATGGTATTTGGCTTAAGTTTTTAAAAAAATTGGTATTAGGTATGGTATTTGGTATTTTAAAATAAAATACCGAAATACCGATACCGTACCGAAATATATATTATATTACACAAAACACATATTATCAATTATAACATAAATATAAAAAATTTAAAATTTTACTTTCCTTTATTCTCAAACTTCATCAATTAACCTAAACAAGTAACAAGACATTTCTAATTATCAAATATTCTTCTATGTACAATTTACTCTAGTTTTGGACAAAAATTTTGTCAACAAACATTTCAGTTTTGTATTTTTGCGTACTTTAATTAAGAATATTAGAGTGTATGGCTTTATGCACTAGTTAGTATTCAAACCGAATAAACCGAAACCGAAAGGAGAAAAACCGAACCATACCGAATTTAATTAGGTACGGTATTGGTATAGGATCTTAAGAAACCGAATACCAATAATACCGAACCGAAATGTCTAAATACCGTACCGTACCGACCGACGAACACCCCTAATGGATAGAGCTATCAATATGGGCAGGGCGGGCTAGCCCAGCCCAGCCCACGTAGGCTTTGCAATCTGACGGGCTAGGCTGGACTAGGCTAGCCCACAATTTTGGGCCTTATAATGGTCAGTTCATCCCGGCCCTATGTGGGCTGCAGGCCCCACGTGCCGGCCCATTATTTTTTTAAATATAATTTTATATTTTTCTTTAAATTATAACCTAAAAAAGATAAATATTTAAAAGTTAAAAAATCTTATTGGAAAATTTTCACAAACTTAATAACTTTTTATATTGTTCCAATATATGATATACAATAAAAGGTAAAAGACAACACTATATTTCATTCACTAAAGTTAAAACGTCAAAACAACTATTCA